GTGTGGCTAGCCTTGGAGAGAAGGTTTTCATCTCTGTCAAGGGCCAATATATTGCAGCTTAAAACTAATCTGCAAACTATCAAGAAAGGTTCAGATTCTATTGATGTATATATTCAGAAGATCAAGGAGGCTAGGGACAAACTAGCAGCTGTTTCAGTCTTTGTTGATGATGAAGATACCCTTATATTCACATTCAGTGGTCTTCCTTCAGCATATAATGCTTTCAGGACCTCTGTTAGACCCATATCTCTACAAATCTCTATTGAAGACTTACATGACTTACTTCTTATAGAAGAACTCTCTATTGAATCTGACAATAAACAGAACTCTGTTTCTTGTTCATTTCCGGCAGCTATGGTTGCTACTCAGTCTAAGATCAACAACTATTTTCCTTCTTCCAATTGAAGAAATAGTTATATGTCTAACTACAGAGGCAGATGAAGATATAATAATTCCAACAACAGAGGAGGCAGATCTAACTCTAGTAACAAGAATTACAACAACAACTACTTGCTTCTCAATCTAATTCTCAAGGATCCTTTTATAGAAATTCAAATCAGAATTCTCAGTCTTCATCTGGATGCGTTTCTTGTCAGATCTGTAATAAGAATGGCTATAGTGCCATTGATTGTTATCATCGAATGAACTATGCTTATCAATGCAAGCATCCTCCTTCCTGTGGTTCTACACCTTTTCAGTCAGATTAAATCTACAACGCCTGGTTAACAGACTCAGGAGCAAGTAATCACTAGTGATCTTCACAATCTGTCTATCTCCACTGACTACACTGGCTCTGATTCTGTTACCGTTGGCAATGGTCAAGGATTACCTATCCAACATACAGGTCTAGTATCTCTTCATACTGATTCTCATTCTTTTTCACCTCAGTCAAGTCCTTCATGTTCCTTCTATCACCTCTGATTTGTTATCTGTGCATAAATTCTGCTTGGATAATAACTGTCAGTTTCTCTTTGATGCATATGGATTCCAAATTCAGGACAAAGTCTTTGGGAGAGTTCTCTACCAGGGCAAAATTGAAAATGGTCTATATCCTATCAAATCCTTCAAATTTGCTGCTCCTCAAGCTCATCTGGGTAAAACAGTTACCAATCAACTGTGGCACAATTGGCGTGGCCATCCTTCAAATTCTATTTTTCATCAAATAAATCATGCTTCTGCTTTACCACATTGTAGTCCTGATTCTAATCCATGCATTTGTAAATACTGTCTTTTTGGAAAAATGTATAGACTCTCTTTTAAACTTCTAAGTCTATTTCTTTATTACCTCTAGAACTCTTTCATAGTGATGTATGGGGGCCAGCCCCAGACACTTCTGTTTAAGGTTACAAATACTCTGTTACCTTTATAGATGATAAAACCAAATTTACTTGATTCTTTCCTTTGATAAATAAATCAGATGTTCATGGCATCTTTCAAAATTTCAAAAGTCATGTTGAGAACTTGTATCTGTTACAATTAAAAAGATTAGGACTGATGGTGGAGGTGAGTTTTGTAATCAGTCTATGTCTCAGTTTCTTGCTAAGTCTGGGATTTTTCATCTGAAATCTTATCCCTGCAGAAAGGAAACACAGACACATTGTTGATACTGCTCTTACTATGATGTTTAAGGCTTCAATTCCTTCTCAGTTTTGGAGTTATGCTTTTGCAACTGTTGTTTTTCTGATGTTCACATAGCTCAGGCAAAAGTCCCTATGAACTCCTTTTTCATTCTTCTCCTGATTATAACATTCTTAAAACCTTTGCTTGTGCTTGTTTTCCTTATTTGAGACATCAAAACACCAGCAATTTGTAACCAAAAACCACTAAGTTTATTTTTATTGGATACACCCTTGACTATAAGGGTTACATCTGTTATGATCCTGTTACTACTAAAGTTCATGTTTCTAGACATGTTATTTTTTATGAAAACTCATCTCCATTTTCCCTTACTTCAGTTTTTCCACCCTCACCCTCCATCCTTGGCCCTCCTCTGTGTACATCTGCACCTTCTCCTGTCATTTCTCAACCAATATTTTCCCCCCCACAACCTTCTCTTTCACAAAGAACCTTTCCTTTTCCTTACTTGTCTTCTGGACCTTCTCCTTCTGCTTCTCCTATTGCTGCTCCCTCTGATAGTTTAATGTCTGTAGACTCTTCTTCTGCATCTCTATTTGTTTCTTTACCTGCTCCTCCGTATGTTCCTTCTTCTCTTAATACACATCCTATGCAGACAAGATTAAAGTTAGACATATCTAAGGAGAAGGTTTTTACTACTGTCACTTCATCTTCTGAACCCACATCTTTCACCAGTGCTTCCAAGTTTCCTGAATGGAGGGCTGCTATGTCTGAAGAGTTTACTGCTTTACAAAAACAAGGGACTTGGTCTTTGGTCCCTCCTTTATCTCACAAGAATATAATAGGTTGCAAATGGGTATTTAGACTCAAGTATAACTCTGATGGGACTATTTTCAGACACAAAGCTCATCTGGTAACTAAAGGATTTCATCAGGAGGCTGGCATTGATTTTGAAGAAACTTTCAGTCGAGTCATTAAGCACTCAACTGTCAGCTTGGTTCTAGCTCTTGCTGCTCATTTCAGGTGGCCTCTGAGATAGCTAGATGTCAAAAATGCTTTTCTTCATGGACTTCTCAAAGAGGAAGTCTACATGTCTCAGGTTCTTGGATTTGTTGATTCCACTAAGCCTCATTTTGTTTGCAAACTTCATAAGGCCATCTATGGTCTTTAGCAAGCACCATGGGCCTGGTTTGCTACATGTACTTCCTATCTTCTCACTCAATGCTTTGTTTCAAGTCCATCTGACTCCTCCCTTTCTCATCAGATCTGTTGGATCTTCTGTTACTATCCTATTGCTCTATGTTGATGATATTGTTTTGACTGGTAATGATCAATTCTTTATTCAGTCTTTCTTCTATGGTCTTCATTCTGAGTTTGACATGAAAGATTTGGGTACTCTTAATCATTTCTTGCGGATTCATATTACATCTCAAGCTGATCATCTTTATCTCTCTCAAACTCAGTATGGTACTGATATACTTTGCAAAGCTAATATGGCTAACTGTAAACCCTACAAGATTCCGCTTTCTCACTAGACTCAGCAAAACAGAAGGTCAACCACTACAGGATCCGAGTTTTAAAGAAGTTTGGTTGGAGCTCTTCAAGACCACACTTTACTCGTCCAGACATTGTTATTGCTGTGAATTATGTCTGTCAGTTCATGCAGTGTCCAATTGACTTGCATCTCACAACAGCTAAACGTATACTCAGATATGTTCAGGGCACTCTGTCTCATGGCTTTTACTATACTGCTGCATCTTCTTCCTTGGATCTTACTGCCTTTGCAGATGCAGATTGGGCAGGGGACCCCTTTGATTGAAGATCCACTCTATCCATTGCCCTTAATCCTGTTTTTCATGCTCGCACGAAGTATATTGAAGTAGATTACCACTATATTCGTGATCAGGTCACTCACAAGCTTCTAGACAATGGTTACATCTCTACTAAAGATCAATTTGCTGACATTTTACCAAAGGATTGTCTTCTACTGTTTTCATTCCTTTTTGAGACAAATTGCTGTATCCAGCTCCCATCAATTTGAAGGGGCATGATAAGCCTCATAGCTCAGCTAAAGTTCCATCCACAGCAATAAGCTGAAGCTCACTCATAGAGTAAGCAGAAGCTCACTCATAAAGTCTTGATTAGCTATAGAAGTTCACTCGTACAGCTATGATAAGCTACAGCAGCTACTGATACAGTCTGAATCAGCTACAACAGAAGACATGTGATAAGACCACACTGAAAGAGTCTACACTTCGATGTACTGAATCCAATCAGTAACCATTGCTACCAATTCAGTTATGAGTAACAGCTGTGTGAAGTTTGTTAGATGCAAGTGGTTTAAGTTATGGTTTATGTATAAATATGAAATGAAGTCACACTTGTTTTGCTTGAGTCATTATGCAATAAGAGAATCTATCTCTCTCTCTCTCTCTCTCTCTCTGTGAGAATTCTATCATAGCTCAGATATATTCTTGCATTTGATATTCATAGCTTTTAACATTGGCCTATGCAATGGGCCTAAACAAAACTTTTACTTGGGGGTAAGGCTATGATACTTTTTGGTACCATATACCGGAAAATGAAGTTTAGCCTTGCATTTTGCTTTGGTTTATTTGCGGCGGGTCGTGAAAATAATAAAATAACGTAAAACAATAGAATTGAACAACTTTCTACATGTCTTGTGTCTCATTAGTGAAAAAAAGAAGAGATATAGTAGCTTTACAGAATCGGGGTTGACTGCAACAAACATTGCTGCCCCTTGACATAGAACATAGAATTTACAATTGGCACAATTCTTTGAGGAGCACATTTACATCAATGGACAATAGCGTGCATTGTTGGGCCCTTCAGGTGATACTCCATGCATAGCTAAACCAGGGTTCGGCAAATTTTTTTAAAAAAATGAAAAATATAGTGAAACTTAGTGGGTGGTGAATGTGTTTCCTTTAGCTAATGAATTCGCATCTGATTTTGAAAAGCTTAACAACAGGAGGCCCCTATCAACATATATAGAGCAATACTTTATAAGAAATTTCCATGAATGTCATCAAGTGTCTATTTTAGTATTATTTATTAAAAAAAGAAATTATTTTGTCTTCATATGTGTATGGATATTTTATCATGAGGCTGCAAGAAACCTTATCATCAGCTGTGAAACAAATACTGATGCCTTAGAAAGAAAAAGAATATTCTTGTTAAATATTCTTTTCATTTTTCTTCCATTTATTTGCAAACAAAAGGAGCTATTATGGAAAACAAAAAACCTATATATGCTTGCTGCCAATTAAGATGAGTGAATTAGGATTTTGAATCATGAGTGTTTGGCTTCCCTGGCACACAATTACAAATAACAGAATATATTTTGTGTTTAGATTGGATTGTCTGCTAACTTACATGTTCACGGGGTTTTCTTTGGATCTACAGATGATAGCATAGCTATCTTAATGGCGTTCCAAACACCAGAAGTTGAAGTCTTAGGGTTGACAACAATATTTGGTAACACTAATACAGAAGGTGCCACTCGTAATGCATTGCTTTTGGTATGTTTTCACTTTAGTCCATTCTTAGTTCATATATGTTTTGCTACAATTTCATGCCCTTAATGTTTTTGGAACATTTTCATGATCAATTCATATTCCAATGTGCAAAAGGATAGTGTGAGATCGCAGGATATCCTGGTGTTCCAGTGGCAGAGGGTAGCCCTGAACCTCTGAAGGTAACTGCTTTTATATATACTTCTGATGCTATTGGTAGTGGTATATTTTGGTGATAGTGAAGACTTAACTCATGCTACAGGTAGTTTTATATATTGATGATTGCTAAGTTCCTTATGGGCACGAATATAGGTCAATGCTTGTCATATGTGGTGAAATGTTACCTTTCCAACTTATCTGAGGTTATTGTAATTGAGTGATTTTGCTGACGATGCCCTATATTTTGCACTAGGGGGAAACACCTGTTGTTGCAGACTTTATTCATGGTTCAGATGGATTGGGCAACCTGTTTTTAGCTCCTCCAAAATCCAAAAAAATTGAGAAAACTGCGTCTAAATTTTTAGTTGATAAGGTCACTGAATATCCTGGTGAAGTATCTATACTTGCGCTAGGACCGCTGACAAACTTGGCTTTAGTAAGTTCTGGTATCCTTTCATTTCAGGTCCATCTAACAGGATTCCTCTGTTTAAGTTTCTCTGTCGCATAAGCTTTTGCAGTGCAATAATGTTGAAATTTTTGCATTAGGCTGTCAAAAGGGACTCGTCCTTTGCAAGCAAGGTGAAAAGAGTGGTCATACTTGGTGGAGCATTCGGTGCTTTAGGAAATGTCAATCCAGCTGCAGAAGCAAATGTATGGGATAAGTGTTATTACTTCTCTGTTCCTTAATGTGAGAGTTGATGTGCGTTACTTAATTGTACATATCACTCTTACATGTAGTAATCTTCTTTAGATTTGTAAGTTAATTGTCGAATTCTCAGGCTCCTCCTATTTCAGCATGATCATTTCTTAGCAAAGTTAGCTTTACTGTTCTCTCTTACACATGCCTTGAGCTGCATAATTGTTCCATTGGCTCCTTTTGTTTTAATGTAACTCATTTGAATCCTTGATATGTGTGTTACCTTTGAATAGATTATATGAAGCCACTTTTGGCCGCTATCTTTTCAAATTCATAATTTTTTGTCTAAATTGTTTAGATTTCATGGGGGATATTTACTACCTCAATCTTGAGATGTATCTACAAAAAATTGTGGCTAGACCTTTACAGACCAGTTCTGACTGTTGTCTATCAATATAAAGTTATGAACACATATAAGACTAAAGCTTTCTGGTTTTAGAGCCACTAGGATGAGAATTCATTTTGTGGAGCAAAGCTTCAGTTACTAACCCCCCCCCCCCCCCCCCCCCCTCTCTCTCTCTCTCTCTTAACCAACACCTAAACAACCCAAGAAAACAAAAGCCGCAAAATAAAAACAAAATAATAACAAGAATAGTGATAAATGATAATAAAAAGAACAGAACTGAAAATTGTCCTTCTGACTTGCAGATCTATGGGGACCCTGAAGCAGCAGATGTTGTGTTCACCTCTGGGGCAAATATTGTTGTTGTTGGCATAAATATTACAGCACAAGTCGTATTGACAGGTGCTATTCCACCTTTATGTTTTCCTATTTTCATTCTCCCACAATTATTGAACTGTCTGGAAAAATATTCTTTCTTTAAAATATACTCTCTTATTTTTTCAGACACAGACCTTTTCGAATTGAGACAGTCTCAAGGAAGACATGCTCAATCTATATGCGACATGTGCAAATTTTACCGTGACTGGCATGTGAAGTCTGAAGGCGTCTACGGTATCATTCTCTTTATAGAAAATGATCCTAAAATATTCATGTTTCATTTCTTTTTCTTTTTCTTAGGTTTTGATTGAGTTAATGAATCAAATTTTTGTATTGATGAATTCAGGAATTGTCCTTCATGACCCAGTCTGTTATGTGGCTCTAGTTCGGCCTGATCTATTCACATACAAGAAGGGCGTTGTGAGGGTTGAGACACAGGGCATCTGTGCAGGGCATACCCTAATGGACCAAGGACTAAAAAAGTACGTTTCAACTCAAATATACTTGTTAGACCACATCTTAGCCTAATTGCCTTACAGTTTCTAATTTGTATTTATAATCTGACACAGATGGGGTTCAAGCAACCCATGGTCAGGCTATTCTCCTGTTTCAGTTGCATGGACTGTTAATGTGGAGGAAGTTGTAACTTACATCAAAAAAATGTTAATGAAACCATGATAAACTGTTGGATCTTGCGCTTGATGTAAGAAAATTTCCAAATGAAGATCGGGTTGTTTCTGATTGCTAGCAACTCAGAACCCACGTGGTGGGAGTGAAAGGGTGATTTAAACTGTTAGTTATGTTGTTGAGAATTTCTTGTAATTGTCCTGTACATGTTACCTTATTGGCATCCATCCGTTGGAAAATGTCTTATGATATAAGGGGACAATCACCCCTTGTTTCATATACTTGACCTCATTCCATCTATAATGCTTTTTAAACTGGTTTTCAGTACACCATGAATTTGCAAAGAATGTAAAATGCTGCTTCTCTTGGTGGGAGTATTTTCTGCTCAGGAGACAACAGGTTATACACCCTACAAAGTTCATCTCTAACTTATGGAGTCGACTATGGTACTGAAAAAATAAAATTCGGTACCATACTTTCATTTATCACATTTATGAGTCATTTTACTATTGTTGCGGTACTTCAAAACCCCCAAGACACTGAGAAAATATTGAATATTACAGTTATACTATGTTATCATGACCCATTCTCCAGGATTATGTCAATTATCCATTACAGTTTTCTTACAGGCTTGTTTGCACCCTATGGTTGACCAAGTCTTCCAGTGGCTAGTGGGTCTTGACTTCTAAAAGCTTGAAATTCAATTGGACCTCTTTTGCCTTGAAGAGTTCGCTAAGTTGATGCTTAGAAGTCAAGTTGATAAAGACACATAGTACACACTGTAAGACCTCTTATCCTTCTCCATTTCAATAAATCCATTTTGTAAATTCTTTTCGAACATGAAAGACCAAGTCAAAATATAGGTAGTACCCAGAAAGAATAAGAAAATAAACTGATACAAGTTTTATGTTTTATATTGTATTTATGTTCATAATGAGAGTAAGAATGCGTATTTCTGAGCCTCGTATAATACAAATGACGGGGCTTAATTTGTCAAGTCAGAGCCGGCCCAACAGTGCAAAAAAAAAAAGTATGAGTTTTAAGCCCCGCATATGAATAAGACTCTAAAATTAAAGGTCAATAAAGAAAGACAAACCGAAGATTAAAATTCACTACAATGTAGCTCAATAAAAAAACTCCTCAAAGTATAAGGCAACAAAAAGAAAAAAAAAATTAAATTTGGGCCTGAAAATTCAACCCCCTCACAAATAATCACATTTGTTAAAGGACAAAATGGTTAATAAGAAAAAAGTGTTGACAATTGACATTATTATCAATTTCTTTCTACGATAAAAAAAAAAAATATAATCAGCATATCTCTCCACCTCAAAAATAAAATAAAATTAGACACATTTTCTACTTTTTCAAAATTTAGTGTTTTTTTTTCTTCATTTAAACTCAAAACACTAACTAAATCATTCATTCTCATAAAAAAAAAAAAATCTTTTGATCAAGTTGTTACTTGTTGCAAACAAAATATAACAAAAAATTAGGTGAAATTTGCATGCATAAACAAGTTACATATCATAGAAAAATAAAAGATAGTGAAATAATTCAAAAAAAAAACATAACAATAAATTTATTCAAAATAAATTCAATCATGTAATACCACAATTTCTATAAAAACATACAAAATAAATAAGAAGAACAAAAAAATATTAGTGAAACAATAAATTACACTCTCTTAATTATCTATGATCAAAAGTCATACTCTCAATCAAAAAAATATTTTAACAAATTTTGAATAAAAAATTAATTAGTAATTTTGAATATTAAACAGTAAAAATAAAAAATCTTCTTAAAACTTTTGGCTTTAGGCCTCACATATTATTGAGCTGCCCTTGTGTCAAGTATGATAGTAACAGATATAAAATTAAATTTGCTCCATCAAATTATTGTAAACGTAAACTGAGTCAATATGAAAAACATGGAAAAAGGATTAAAATTGCTTTTATTTGATGACAAGAAGACTTGCTTATTTGCTGAATACAACTGCTAGAGGTAAACCAACCTTACACATTGAGTGTTAGAATATTGTGGCCACTCGTTCCATTGAAGTAAGTGATTTTGCCTTCTTTTTGGTATAAGATTGGATGGTCAACAACCAAGAGTTAGGGTAACAAATTGAGTAATGCTACATGGATTTAAAAAAATAGACTTGATAATCTCAACCATTGAATAGATAGTGGGTCCCAATAAATGTTGGGATCCACAGTGAAATCAATGGTTGAAATTATTAAGTCTATTTTTTAAGTTCATGTAGTATTACTCTAACAAATTTGCAAGTTTAAGTCCAAAACTAGTCGAGCTTATAAGGTTCATTTTCTAAATGAGATTAAAAAAATATTTGAACTCGACTCGTTTTTAAAACGAATAAGTTCGAGTTAAACTTAAAACGAATAGAATCTGATCTGAGCCAATCTGGAAAAAAAAAAAAAAAAAAAGAAAAGCAAGGCAAACCTCAAGAGACCTCTTCAATTCTTTGCTGGGTGAGAGGTCAAGTCTTTAGGCCATTTAATTAAGCAGTTAAACCAACTGTCCCTCTCTTTATACATATTTCAGTTTCTTCCCTTTGACAGTTACCTACCACACCGAAGGAACCGTTTCAACTTCCTCGAGAAACTGCACCCACTCCAACAACCAGTGGAAAGTAACATCTTCCATTGCTTGCACTCCTAATCCTCTACACAAACCCTAGAAATACCCTTCATTCTAACCCTTAAACAAACCCAAAAAAGGCCATTAAATTCGCTTGAAACGTTGAGGAGAGAGAATCATGGCAATTGTTCATTCATCGATGGCAATGGCAGAGAAGGTGTCATGGTACTGTGCTTTGTTTTTGGCAGTAATGCTGGTGTTGAGCTGTTGTGAACCAGATGAGAGAGAATTCATGGCGCCGGTGAACTTTAAGGACATGATGAACAAGCCATGCGATGAGATTTATGTGGTTCGGGAGGGAGAGACTCTGAATACTATCAGTGAGAAGTGTGGAGATCCTTATATTGTTGAAGAAAATCCCCATATCCATGACCCGGATGATGTTTTTCCTGGCCTGGTTATCAAGATCACCCCTTTCCAGGATAGGTAAACAGTCCAATCTTAATGAGCTTGTTTTTGTTATAAAGGAGAGGTTTAAAACTTCAAGAGTGGTGGAACCTATCTCTTTGGACAGGCCCATGCTTTGTTAGTCAATTTAAATTCTGTCTCTATGGGGAAAAAATGTCTTAAAAGTGATTACTGGAATGTGATAGCCTTTATGTAATTAGTGATGGGGTACAAATTGGGGGTAACATTGATTAGCTCATGCTATCTCTCCCGGTCTCCCGGAAACTTTAATAGGCGAAAATCATGTGTATTGGATGCGATTTTTTTTTTGGGAAGCTTTCCCTTTGTTTTGAGCATGCTGTCGTGTGGTCTTGTTTTGGCTTTTTGGGTTTTGATGTATTTCTCACTTTTGGTTATACGAAAATTACATACCTAGCCAATTTTTATTTTTATTTTTGATGATGCATAAATTGGATTTATGCACCAGCTGTCAAACGAGCAGTAATAAATGTGGTAATTAAGAAAGACACAAGCAAGACAAGGTTTATACTAATTCGGTCAACGTGACCTATGTCCACTTTGAATGGTTAGAGTCACCGGATATGTTATTACTTCAAGTGTTTAGGGAGAACAGAGAGTTACAAGCTTTGAGAGGAAAAAGAGAGTTGTGCTCAACTGAATGTGATATGCCTCCCAAGTGTTGGTAGAGTTTATAATTTGTAGTCGCCACTAAACAGATTGAGGCAACTTAATAGTAACTAAATTATTAATCTGGTAGAGCTGACGACCTCTTCTCAATGGATGAGGTAATTCCGGCGCTCTCCATAAGATTCAGTCAAAGGATGAGGTGGTGGTTGACTTCTTCCAAGACGGCGTGGATGAGACTTTTGGGATGATCCTTACTCCAGAGTGGCTAGGAGAAGACTCTTAGAATGACCCTTACTCCAAGGTAGCTAGAAGGAGACTCTTGGGATGACCTTTACTCCAAGGTTGCTAGGAGGAGGCTCTTGGATGACTCTTTTGGACTAGATATTGAATCTTTATAAGTTTGGACTCTTAATTAAAACTAGGCTCGTAGCATGAGTTGGGCCCTTGGGCTGACCCATCAATTATTATTATTATTTTTTTAAGTATGATGTGCATAAGACGCACTTCAACTTTGTGAGGTAACTAGTTCAAATGGTAACAGGGATATACGGTAAACTTAGACGTTTTGAGTTCAAATTTCGATTATCTATGAGGGTTAGAATTTCTCATAAATACTTTAGTCCCAATATAGGTGACATGCTTTTGTCCGAATTAGGAAGGAAATTAGTTGAGGTACGTGTAAATTGACCTGAACACCACACTCTAGACTGTTGGAAAAAAAAAAGCTCTGTGAAAGTGATATGTGCAACATGGATTAAAGAGGATTAATGTCTGGCCAATTTTATGTTAAAATCTCTAGATTTTACAAAATGTCATGAAATCTTGGCTTTTCAAGAAAGAAAATGCTACCTAACTCAAATGAAACGTAAAAATTAAAACTCAAATGTATATCATTTATTGGATGAGTGTGGCATGAGCGGATTCCATTGAAAAAATTAATGAGATCCATTCATCCAATAGATAATATGTATTTGAGTTATAACTTTTGAAATTTTATTTGGATTTTATAGTATTGTTCTTTCAAGAATGCTCCCAACGTCGACCAACATGTACTAGGAAATGGAGGTGACTGATAAATATAGATTGGTCCGAAATCTGATTCAAATTCAATATAACATTCATGGGTGCATAAAGATACTATTGAATTGATTCTTACAAGCCAACTTAAAGATTGAAAAAAAAAACTTAGAAGGTTGAAAAAACCAATGTCATAAAGGAAAGGGTGACACAACATAATGGGTTGGACTTAGGGGTGTTAAATCGTATCAGATTAAATGGTTACATATTGGGTGAAAAATTTTAATACGAATATGAATCGTTTAATAAACGGATAATACTACATGACTCGTTTAACTTATTTAATTTAAAAAAAATTATATTAACAAATTTTAATACTCCACTTTTTTTATTGCCATATGTACTTGTTTAAAAAAAGAGAAATTTACAGTTAAATTTCACTTGAAAGTCACACCTGAAGGTTAAAGAAAAGGGGAAGAGGCCACTTTTTTTTACAAGGAATGTTTGAAAAAAGGAGAGGCATTACAAATTTCATTGTCTGCTCCTTCCATATAGAAGAGTTTGACACTACCAAATCCCTTTAAAGACAATTTGATGTATGCTATATTTGACGTCATTAATATACCAATGCGGGCAATAAGGGGTTCAAATAAAATATTAATAATTAAAAGGGTTATCATAATAATAAAATTTTCTATTTAAATATTTGTATACCAATGGAAAATAAAATTTTAATCAATTTTTTAACAACATTTCGAATGAAAAAAAAAGTAGGTTAGTACATGAAACTTCCGTGCATTGCGGGTTCTAGAGAGAATTAGGTGTACATAGTCGTACTCTCTCATACAAAAAGACTATTTCTAAGACTCGGACCCTTGATGTCCAGATTACAATATACTAATTAAGGATCAAAATTTCGTTTTAAAACAATCGAAGCGTCTGAAACGTTTACATTTCAAGGAGACTGAAACGAATCAGTGATGAAATTGAAATTTTAATACTTCTAGGTATTTTATAATTGTTTCGAGGTGTTTTGTAATTTTGTAATATTTTAATGTATTTACACAATTATTTTGAAATGTTTTGAGGTATATCAAGATATTTTGGTATATTTCGACAAATATTTTGAAAAAATAATTTTTAAATTTTTTATTTTTTTCATTCCGTTTTCAAAACATTTCGAAACATTTTCATTTTTTAGGTGACCGAAACAATGCATCGAAAAATATTTTTTCCCCTTGATACTAACCTTATCTTAACAACCCTTCTAATATAATTTAAAAATAACACATATTATGGAGCACCCAAAATAATCAAACCCAAGGTTGAATTCCTAAAAGCTAATCGACAAAGTTGTTAACTACCACGAATTGAACAATTCCCAGGAAGAATAGAGCTATCCTTTCACACTTGAAGAATGGAACAAAACCATCGTGCACCTCAAGGTTTTATAATTTTTTTTTCCTCCTCTTTGTTTAAAACATAAAAATGTTAATTAAAGAAATAAATTAAGGACTTGTTTGGTTGTTCATTTTAGAACATAAGGAAAACATTAAATTAACTATTAAATTGAGGCGTTTGGTGGACGCCGCCTTCTCTGTTTTGCCATGGCTTCCTCAAAACATGAAAAAATAAGACATGTCAGCAACAGAGAGCCAGCTGTTACTGTTAGTTTGTTACAAAATTAGTTATTAGTTATGAAGTATTTTAATTAGAGTTAGTTGGATTTAAGTGATGCTAGAATAACGGTGAGTTTGTATATAAATACTTCTTGTAATATTCTCCTAATGAGTTTAGTGAAATAAGACATTTTTTTCTCTCCAATCCTCTACTCTCTTCTTTCATTTCCTTCTCTATTTACAACTGTTCACCACTGGTTTTATCATGGTATCAGAGCAGATCAAGCTTCCTCTGTAAAGCTTTACTCTGCAAAGTTTACTCCTCATCAATGGTAGCAACAGTCGAAACATAGACAACTTCGAATTCTGCATCTTCTTCCTCAAGACAGATCGAAGATGCTTCTCATCCATTCTTTCTTCACCATGGAGACAGTCCTAGTGCATTGCTTGTTTCTCAACCATTAACAGGAGATAATTACAATTCATGGAATCGATCCATATTTATGGCATTAAGTGCTAAAAACAAAGTAGGATTTATCGATGGAATTGCTTGTAAACCATCAGAGATAGATCCTCTCTTCAATCCTTGGGTTCGTTGCAATAATATTGGTGATTTCTTGGATCTTAAACACTTTGTCAAAGGACATTGCGAAGAGTGTTTTATATGTGAATTCAGCTAAGGAGATTTGGGATGATCTCAAAGAAAGATTCTCTCAAACAAATGGACCGTAGATCTTCCAATTGCAGAAATCGATCTCATCTTTGATGCAAGATCAGCTTACTGTGAGTTCATATTATACTCAGCTTAAAGGCTATTGGGATGAGTTGATGAACTATCGACCTTTACCTACATGTTCTTGTGGAGCTTTGAAGACTCTAATTGAGTATCAACAACAAGACTACATCATTAAATTCCTAATGGGATTAAATGATTCATTCTCTCACATCAGAAGTTAGATACTACTCCAAAATCCACTGCCTTCTATCAATAAAGTTTTTTCTCTGATTCTTCAAGAAGAAAGACAAAGAGATGTGTTCTCATCAATTTCTTCAAGTGTTGAATTTGCAGCTTTCTTAAGTAGATCATTTTCTGCACGACAAGGTGGAAATAAGCAACAACAAGGTGGCAATAAGCAGATTTCCAACAAATCCAGGCCAACCTATTCACATTGTGGTATTCTGGGGCACACTATTGATAAGTGCTACAAATTACATGGATATCCTCCGGGCTTTCGTTTCAACAAAGGCAAGAATAATCCAAGAAGGGCAAATCAAGTCAGTGGACATGTGGATAATGAGAATCCAATAGTTGAAGACAAATTCGAGGCAAAACCAAATTCTCAACTATCGATCACACATGATCAGATTCAGCAACTGTTAGTGCTTTTGAAACCTCAATCTAACACTGTTGGTCAGTCTTTTGCAAATCACATAAGGGGCTCTTATACTCAATCATTACTAAACATTACAGGTAATGCATCTTCATACTCCTTAACCATTCCTCAACATCCCTCTCTTTCCTTGGTCAATTCTTTTGATTCTGCAAATTCCATTCCTTGGATTATAGATACAGGAGCAACTGATCACATTGTGTGTTCAATTTCTCATCTTGATTCCATCACTTCCACAGTTAAGTCATCAGTGAAACTACCTAATGGAAGTATTGTGTCAGTCAGTCATGTTGGTACTGTCAAATTCTCTAAATCAATTGTGTTAACTAATTTACTTTGTGTTCCCTTTTTTAGTTTTAACGTCATTTCTGCAAGTAAAAACACAACATTCTTCTTGTTGTTTCTTGTTTCTCCTTGGTTTTTGTTTCATCTAGGACCTATCAACCTAGAAGACGATTGGGATGGGTG